ACAAGCTAGACTTTGAAACTTCGTCTGTATGCAAAACAGTTTCAAGCACTGTCTGCGTACACTCTTAACCAAATTTCACTTTCTCTTTGTGAGCAAAGCTTTTTATAATGAGAGTATTCAGAGTGCTTCTAAATGAGCACATATTTTTAAACGGCTACAAGATTATGTGTAAATTATAAACACATTTAACTAATTAAGAAATAATTTGTTTTTTTTTTATATTCAGGTTATTGATGCATCAGTCCTAACAAATTCTTTCATTATTAATCTCACATTTATTAATTCATTCATTTGGTATAAGTTTTTCTATATAACTTTATTTGCAATTTTAATAATGTGAACGTTTTTACAAGTATTCTATCAACATTATCATAATGTCATTGATGTAAAATTTTTAAAGTATTTAGCGTGTTGTAGAATTGACTTTCACTTTTTTATTAAAACCATTTTTTTAATAACGCCGATCTAACAGATTGGTAAGAATGAAAGCCACAAACATGCAGCAAGTAAAAAGCGAACCTACTGTCATAATTTCTAGTTTTCTCCTCTTCTTCTCGGAATTTCTTTATTTATAACAATCTATCTATCATATGAATAGTTGAAATATCAATAAAAATATAACCTATTCCTATTAATATCCAAGTTTCAGCTATATCTCGAACCAAGAAGTACCAATTTAGCAGCTTTGTGTAAACATCTTAATCCCAAAAGATTTACAACATGCTGTTTTCTCAGTCATTCGTCCGCAGTAAAAGGAAAGAGTTCAAACAACACATACTGAAATGGAATGGCCCGCCCTTAGGATCAACAGTAACTGTTTTATTACTTCGGACGGGAGTAAAGTTTCCCAGTTTTTATTATTTTCAAATAACTTCTTGTCTACTTTGACCCATTAAGGTAATTTGATCTATCATATGTGTTTAGGTGAGATTCTTATATTATATATAAAATATTTCTCTCACTAACTTTTTTGTGTTGGTCCCCTGTATTATTCCCTCCATATTTTTATTAAAATTCGGTAGCTTTACATTTCTCTCCAGGTTTTCTTATATTATTTTTCAGTTGCAGATAAAATTTTTAAATCATATTCGTATGTAAATATTTTCAAACGAAAAGGATTTCATGAAAACCAAAGTCATAATTTAAGCAAATTTATTAGAAAAATATAGTCTAATATTGATTAAGGTTTAGTTTAGTTCGTATTCTAAAATTTAAATAACGTCGAAGCAATATTTGTTATAGAATAATTTCACAATGAAAATCAATTTGATATTTATTACCAGTGAAGAGAAGTTCAACCATATTGTTTAAGTCATGGGGTCCTGATCGAACATCTATCAAGTAAAGCCAAGGGTTTCGCGGTGAAACAAACGAGCGAATTAGTCTTCCTGACTGAGCCTGATTGATGGACGGTTACGCAATTAACTTTTAACAAAATCCCTGGAAACAATTTGGTGAATAAATTAATAAAGGACGTCAGTACTAATTATAGTCAGAGCAGCCGACGTATATTTTATGAGAAAAATTTATCAATTTCATAATGATAAACACAGATTTTGTATGAAATTTTTATGTAAGGAATGATTTAGTAGCTTAATGCCCTCCTCTTGGTCGTTACTGACAGTATATAATATTTGCTTCTTTTTAATTATAAAAAAACCATAATACACACAAATGCGTGTATGTGTATGGAGTTACTCGGCAATTATTTGATAGGTTTTGAATATCACTTAACAACTATTGTATGTATTTATTACGTCAACTGATCAAAATCGAATAACATTTGCCAATAATCATAATTCAAATGGAGAGTTTTTGAATTAAAATAATGATTTTTGATTAATCGCTTTCATACAAATTTTAGTAATAGACTTTAAAGTTTTCTAAATCAGGTCACTTTTTTTAAATATCCAAAATTTCATACATATAATTGTATCATTTTAATATTAAATATTTGTGTATAAAACCTTTTAATTGTATCTTCTTTTATAACATTTTTATTTATTTACAGAAAGAAACGTTTATAGGAGCAATATCGTTTCCTTACTTTAACGAAATAGGCGTCCTCTACTCAGAAACTCTTTCGAATTTACCTTTATACGAAACTTGGGCCAAATTTTATACAACTTTGGTAAAATCCTACCTTGCAATAATAGCTCTTATTGAAACGTAATAAAGTTTTATTTCTATATACTGACCATTTTGATTGTATTGTAAAGGAGGTTGTATTATTGGAAATTCCTGAATGTCCGGGCTTTCAACTGATATCGGATGTCGACAGTTGCAGCGATTTCAGAACTGTCTAAATACGTTCGTGCTTTCAGCTACGTGACTTTGAATGTTTTTAAGAAGATTTTCCAATTTCTTGGAATGGGTTTAGGTTCGTATTAAATTTAATTGCTGGCAATCTATCACAACAACTAATTTCATTGCTTAAAATATTTAATAAAAACTGATAACAAATTTACAAGTAGTTGTAATCCAAAATCGTATTAACAAACCAATACAATTAATTACTAAAAAAAATATTAAATGAACCAAAATATTATAAAAATATAGAAATTGTTACAGTTTCTTTTATATTTGGGTAAATTCTTTATATGTCATTTGTAAATCTTTCGAGGATTATGCGTAAACGTCACAGCAAAGTGGAAAGTGTCATAAAACAAAGTGTCGGTTATTACATTAATAACTAAGGACCACAAAAACCCAACCCTTTTTGTTTATCCCTTGGGAACACTGCAGCATCCTGTGATGAAACCGCGAATGGATGTATAAATATAGTTAGATGAAAGGAAGATATTTTCATATATATTTTTTTTCAAATTTACATTACATATTATAATAGAGTGCTATTGTGAATCTAATATCCATCCATGAATTTGATTATAAGTTAATATAATATTGGATAATTAAACAAATTATGAAAACTTTGTTGTTTTTATTAAAAATGAGTAAAACCTTTATATACTTCAAAAATATTTAAAGACTACTGTATACTTAAGAGTATATAAAAATGTCATATCCATTTTTTCTTACTCAACGATTGACCACTGTCGGTTTGTCTGATTTATTAGGAGCGCCTTCCGCAAAAACCTGGCATCGCAGCTATTTTCGTTTGTTTGAAATATATTTTCCTTTTCCATTAATACTATTAAAGTTTTTTCTTTCACATATATCATGAGTTTCATCTCGCTCAGAGCTAAAACGGATTGAAAATTATTGCTGTAATAAATCTTACATATTGGCTATATGATGCTGCATGCTGTGCTCGGTCTTTATCAATGTCATAAATTGTAGTTATAGTGGGTATAATAATTGATATAAAGAAGTAGTGTATTCATAACTCATTAGTATTGATAACTGCAAAAACAATTATAGTCTACACAATTTCATCTAATAGAAAACTTTTGCCATCAAGGTTTAGGTATCATAATAAAAATATTAAGAGTCATTGAAATACAATATTTATTCATATGCACACAGTACACCGTTACTATATAATAATATGGTTTATGAACTAATAATAATTATAAACAGTACTATACTTATACTCATATTACAAAAATAGAAACTTTACAAACAAAATCTATTCATAAATTCACATTTCATATTCCATCTCGACAATTGAGCTGAATCATCAGGATTACTACTAGCAATGTATTTACAATTAATATATTTTGGTTTAGTTACTTGACAGATATGCAATTTTATAAGCTATTACATGGCGTTACTGTTCTATTTAAAATGCACTTCACTTGCAAAATCCCTAGTGACAGGAACTGCATTGATCGATCTGCATAACAGAAACTAATGTGTCAGATAATATTCTATAACTATGTCATTGTCATAAAAATAATGGTAGTATAGTTACAAACGTCATTATATAACACCGACTTTGAATTTATATTGCTTCAAAATATTATATGGAGCGAATTGGAAGCTATAGACTACAAAAATAAATGTATTTTAAGCTGGGTTTTAAAATATTTACACATTAAAATGAAAGCAATGCAACAATGGAATAGAATATTTCCCTCCTGCGGTTAGCCATTTAAACAACATGTGCTCAAATATACATACGATCCTTATGTGAAACGTTGCTTTAGATTCGATACCACAGTCCGCTAACCAGTTTATACATAATATGTAGCGCTAATGAGCTTAATGTAAACTATAATATAAATGAAAACATATACATATATTAGCAAATATTGGCGAAGGAGAATGAATTAATTCATATTTTGCAATAAAAATGTATCTTTTTTGTTATGAAACCCAAATAATAATAAAAAAATGATTAACATAATACCCTTAATATTAATAATATACAAGAAAATGTTTAACAAAGATATGAAAGAACATATTGTGCAAGAACAGAAATAGTTGTCTTAAAGATAACTTAGTCTAACAATAGTCTATACATTAACATAACAATGAATTTCTTCTTAAGCAACCGGGAGTCTTTACAATGATCTTTCAATTGAAATATATCACAGTAATTTTATATCGATATCGGGAAAATAAACTATTTACGATAATTTTACATCGCCTCAATTGTAAACGTGACGTTTGAAGCGTAGATGTAAACGAAATTTTATACACATCAAAAATGTAAACCTTATTATCATCAGTACTTCTGAGTAATCAAAATTGTTAATGAGTAACTGTTCTGTTTCACCCTTTGCTTCTTGCTTAATAATTAGAAAAGCTGCGATTATACAAATTTTAAATGATCATACGATTACATATGCTAAATTATTAGACGGTATTATTTTCAAGCCGGTTTTTTTTAAATACTTCTATTTGATATGTCTGCACTAAAATTTAATGCTTTTTTATTAATCGATTTTTTTTGATGTCTTCAATTAATATTCGATTACATATAATAACTTCATTGAAATGCAATCAACTAGTATGCTTCTATGATCGCTTTAATTTTGAATACTTCTTCTCTTCATGAAAGTATAAATCCTTATTCTACTTATTTATTATCCTATTCAGACGTAAATCTCAACTTCAAAGTTAAGCGGGTGATGTCTCTGGCTCTTCATCCTCACTGTGACGTAAGAAAATCCAACTCCACCGTCGGTAATATTTGCGCTAGCGTGTGAGAAGTCATTATCTATTGCAGCAACTCCCTGAAAAGAATATATTATTGTATTTTTATATCAGTAACTTTTCAAAAGTACTAGTACTACTAAAGTACCGATAAACAGATATAGGTTTTTTAAAACCTTACATACTCTTCACCTTTTTTATTATTATACTTAAAATAATGAAATCAACATTTCGTACATATTTTAATTTATTTTATTTTTTAGTGCAAATAATGATGTGAAATAAATAATGGATATACCTATTAAGTTATATCCTAGACCCAGAATATATATATTATTAAATTCACACAAAACAATTGATAATAATTCTATCTGTGATATTTATTTATTATAAAAAACTATAGCCACACTGTTTCCAGATTTCTATATTTACTCAAGCAGAATTATAAACTTTATCTAAAAATCAAAACAAAACACTTGCCAAAACATTCAATATAAGAATTTTATTAGTCTACTGTGTAGCGAAATGGAACAAGGTCAATGTGATAAAATTCTTTTTTAATACTTCTGTAAAAATATACACATTTATCGATTCCTGAGTCGTTTTAAATATAAATTGTGCAATAGCGTAAATAGTGCTTATTAAAATGTATGATTTACTGTTGCAATTGTATTTTATGGATAGTAATATAGTCTCTCAAATTAATACAGGGTAGACGGCATTGAATTTTTGTTGTATTCTATAGTTTACAATAACATACTTAAATGTAATGCCCCGACAAAATTGGTGTCTTTATCTCAATAACCTGCTATAACCGGTTTTAGCAAACTGATTTTGTTATATTTAATTTTCAAAACAATTCTGCTGGATCGTAGTAAAATACTTAAGTTTGTTATGTCATCTCAATAATATATACAATTTTAATTTATATCTTTGTCATCACAGATGGGTTCATTAAAATTTTGTGACGTCAATTACTTGATGGATTGAATTGAGATGACGTAATTTTAATAATAAATATATAAAATTTAAATATATTCAAAGCGATCGATAATCTTACCGTTATATTTTATTTTTACATTAGTAAAATACCCTCATTTATAAAACTGATCTCACTCACCTTAATGATTCTATTTTCTGGATCTTTATACGTTAAGATTTTAATTCTCTTCTTAAATGGTATCGCAAAATCCTTAACCCTCTGGTGGAAGACCATTTTTCTGTGAACTGTATCACCGATTATCATATCGAAGCTATCACAAAGCACAAAACACAGAAACAAAATTAGAAACAAAAGCCGCATGTTTTCATAATGTAGATATTAAAAGACAGGGTGTCATTTTACATAGGTTTGTGCACAACGACCGGTCAACGTCAAATGACTAATGTAGACGATAACCTTTTGTGTCGATTGTAAACAGTCTGTTTGACGTTCCTCTAGTAAAATAATATTTAAATATGAATTTATTTTTAGAAACATCTTCTGGATGATCAATTATCATAACTTACTTTGATCACATTAGTTTATCTAGATCATACAGATATAATGGCTTGTTTATTTACTCTGTTTAAAACAATTGACAATGAATTGATTGTACTGGTTGGAATGCAAATGATGCTTCATCAAAATAACTCGTCAAATATCTCTTTTATTTTATGCATATTGCTGGAGCGAATGGTCGTCCGAACGTGTACTAATATTTATGAAATATTCTATACATATGCGACATAAAAAACAAAGTGATAAAACGAAGAATAATTTTATGTTACGAGTATTACGTGTTATCTACACAAAATGTTATACATTTCATTATGTACATACGAAAATAAATACAATTACATATTTTATTGTGAATACACAAAATTCTCTTATAATTAACAGTTTAGTCGTTTCTCAGAAACACCCGACAAACGAATTGATTTTTTTACTTAATTTAAATGACGGAATATTTCAAAACCATTATTTTGAGAATGTCGTTAATATGATATATATTACAGTCATTTATTAGTTATCTTTTTGACAGAAAGATTAATAGCTCAACTGCTCAGAGAGTGACAGGAAAATTTAAAAAGTTTTCGTGACGAACAGAAAGCGGTAATTTGATAATTTCGAAATGTCTTTAGAAACGTATTTCTACTTTTTGTACTTTTTATAACTGTTGGAAATATGTACCTTCACAAATAATGAGCAGTAAAAATACAGTTTAACTGATGTCACAAATTTTTACCTACGGAAAAATACAAAAAAACAAAAGTAAACTTCCTTTAATTAATAATTTTTATAGCTCTAAGTTATATAGAAAACTAACTAAGCCTATATGCATTAATTTAATGTTTTTAAATGTTTTGATCTATTTTTTTATATTTAGTTTATTTTAAATATTGTGTGCAATACTTGTTTTTTTAATAAATGAACAGTAATTGTTTCACACTTTTTTGGTAGCTATTTCGGTTTTTGGATTGAAATTTATATATGTATATATTTAAATTTACACTCTCAGTTCTTTTTCAAACACTTTGATGTAATTATTATAGAAAAGGGTTGAATGATTGCTTTTATTTTGATTAATCACCTCTGACCGCACCCTGTCTCTAAATAACAAACCTTTTGTTTGCGTTGCCATAAAGTAATTTAAGAAAACAATTATAAATAATTAATTATTATAAAGCAGTCACGAATATAAGTCACGTAGTATGAGTTATATGTTACAATTTTATTTGAATATATAAATTTAAAATGACGTCATTTATATTATTTTTATAGAATTAAAAGAAGCATTCAAGTATTTGTACGGAAATAACACTATTGACTATAAGAAACACTTTTAAAATACCTTGGCAAACTTATTTGCCTCGCATTCTCTTTTATCTTAATTTTAATACAATAACACTGTTACTAAATTAAGCATAGTACTTAATAACTACAATCACCTAAAAAGTTTGAGAGAAAAGTGTGGTTGCTACTGAAATTCCCAAAAACTGCTTTTTTTTATCATAAGTAAAATTCAGAAATACTATTAAAAAAGTAAATAGCCGCTTTTATGAAATAACAGTCCGCTATAACAGTATGTACAGTCATAAAAAGCGGAAATATTTTATCTATGATTTGCCGAGGTGGGTTTCCCCTATATAAAATCAATCTTTATTTTTTCAGCATCAAGTCAAATGTAACGTGAACAATGAAAGGTATTTAGCAGAAAATATACCGTCTAAAGTACCTGAATCAACATGGATTAATTTTCCAGCACTAAATTCTATATTAATCAAAATGAAACTGAAGGTATGGCGATTTAATGCTTATATGGATCACTTATGCCCATTCATCTTTAATAAAATATTGATAGTATTAAAGAATATATTGACTGGCTTCTTCTATTCGAAGTTTTTCTAATAAAAACAAAATAAGTTTCGTTCAAAAGAAAACATACATCGACACAGATAACTCGAGGAAAATCTCGACTCGAATCAGAAAATCCCCGCTCTATATAAGGCTTCTCGAATACTCTTGCAATGCACAATCCGAACAGCTATACCGACTGTTCTAAAACTAAAAGGCTTGAGGCTAAGCTTTTTGGATTTAATGGATATCTAAGGCTTAATTGTTATACACTCTGTGCATTTCATTAAAATTAAATCCTACAGAATCTATTTAAATTTACACTTATTCTACTTAATTTAATTTTAGTCGTATTAGTTTACTACTTTTAGATGCAAGTGCCTATTAAATCGAAAGATGAAGATTAATACAAAATAGCAGCATTTCGCTTGATTATTATTGACATTACTGAAATTCGATAATTCCATTCTTATACCCACGTCGAAACTCCGTATATACTAGGCGTCCCTACAACGCCAATACAAATGATATAAGTTGAGCCATAGCTCATAATATTATATTAATTTAAACATACCCTCATGTGTTTTTCCAAACGACGATTTAACAGATGTTCAAAAAATGTCCGTAGCCAAACACTGTTTGTCATCAATTATATTTATTAAAAAAGTCTTTATTTTTAGTATGTAGGATCCCTTTTTAGAGTAAATAAAATGTAGCGACTGTTGCTCACGACGGATTCTTTTTTCATTGCTCTTCGGTGATATATCCCGTCTATCCGAAGGAGTATTGGGATTTTCGTTTTAAATATCCCCATTCGTTTTGCGCTGTTATTTTTTATTGTCGTTTTACGTGCAGGATTTATTTTTAACAATCCTCTCCGATACAATTCGGAAAAAAAATCCCGAAAATGGTGTTCTTAAACTTATTACTTTCCACTTCTTTTAAAAGCTCTTTAAAATTAGTCATAAAGAAACTTTTTAAATTATGTTACTTAAGAAAAGTTAGAATGAAGAATCCGGATTCAAAGCGTTAAAAAGATGTATACATTTATTTAATGAATAATAATTTTTATATAAATTACTATAGACAATTTAGATGTATAATAACACTAGTATTGTTTCTAGGAAACTGTATACATAATAGCCATTTGTTAATAAATCACAGAAATATATGTATATATTTTGTATTTCAACTTGGAATGAGGAACATAAAAGATGTAGAGTTTCATTTCAGTTTAATGTATATTGTACATACATAAGTCAGTCTCGCAGTGATGTATGACGAATCAATACATTCCTGTGTACAGTTCAGGTGCACTATCACGTTGGTAAATTGCATTTTTTTATATTTTATTTTAAACGGAATAAAATGTTTTTAATCCATCTGAAATTTGAATACAAAATAACTGATGATTAAACCTAAGCTTCGTATTATATAATATGAAAATAAGTAATTTAAAATAACGAAAGACATTTGCACATTATATTTTCGATACGTGAACTGCAATCTGAAAATGAGTTTTAATAAGATTCATTTCATTAGATAAAGTAACTAATAAGCAATTTGTTTTTCAAGCGTGAAAAAGAAAAATGTTCTATTTACGATTCATGAAAGGACTAATGATATTCACCACCCAAAATCGTTTCCTTTATTCAAACACAACGTGCATTTACTGAAATTTAGCAGGCCTTGGGGGCGTTGCTATGGCAACCATACAAGGCTCGTGTGGGTTCCAAAACTTTAAATTGTATTACGTACAGAACACAAATATCTTAGTTTACTGATGTATAGTTCTTTCATAATGGGACCTTTGCGTTAGTTTGATATTAATTGCTCCTTAGGAACCTATGGGTTTTACACTTAATAGGGATGGATGGCGTGATATATAAGCCGCTGTTGCATAAGTTTGACTTTTAGGATATAATGTGTGGTAAAACATATTTTTATCGTTGTCATAAAGTATGTTTATACCTGACATATTTTACATCTTGAAAATTAATATTTAAAGAAACCAAGTGTGTAAATAAAGTGTATTTAATGCACGTATATAATTAATTATTTTGTCAATGAGAACGGAGTCATGTTTAGAATATTATTGATTATGTTTAACAATTATATAATTAGATTCAGATGTAAAAGTCTATTTATTTTGTGTCAAGTTACATAGCTACGTACTTGTATTGTATAGTATTATTATATTATAGATTTAAAAACCCAACAATGTGCAATGTATTAAAATAACCGAATCTAAACTGAAAAATTGATAGCACTATAACGATATAAGAGTCAATTCAAACGGCTGCAATTTCGTGTCCATTTAAATTTCGAGCCGGATATACGGTTAATAGGTCTGTGAGAATCGATGGACGGATCAGGGCAGGCACTAATTGCCCCGCACGGAAGGATGGCTGGATTAGTTCTATCGATTTGTGTGCACAAAGTGCTGTAATTCCACTGTCCATTCTTAGCATGGCATAATTTTCACGTCGCACCGACCTCATTGTTTTGTTATATTTCAAAAAATATGCTAATAAACTATAAAATATATTCGTTCGACACAAATTAAATAATATTCTTAGAGTAATGCAAGATTGATTATTATTGACTGGGACTTCAAAATTATTGGATAACATATTTTAAATTATGGTTATATTTACTTTTAGTAAATAAAAAGTCATTAGTTTCTGTTTTTTATTATTATTATTATTACTATTTAATGCATTTGAATATTAAATAAAATAAACAATTTTATCAAAATTATTAAAAAAATTAAAAATCTTTTGACGATACCAAAAGCAATTTGATTGTCATTTTTTAATTTGATAAGTTAGGAAAGAGACGTTTCATAATTAGTCCAGTCATTATAGTAAGTTCACCTCGGAATTCGAGATACCCAGTTGTAAGTCTGTAAATAGTTGTATATTGACATCCTAAAAGTTGTCTCAAAACCTACATATGGTAGGGTG